TTTCTTTTAAAATATTTTTTTTTATTATTATTATTTCATGAAAGAGACCTAAAATTAATGATGATGACCTAAAATGACCTGTGAGCCCTAAAATTATTAAAACAAGTATTTTCTGCCAATTCATAAAATTACCATTGAATTGGCAACTTTTTGTCAGGTTAAATTAATCAGAAAGCACCTTTATTTTTATATTTAGAAAGTCAAAAATCTCCTGAAATATTCAATGTCTTTAATCTACACTATATTTATGCATTTATCATCTACATTACAGTATTATTTTAGATTATGCATCAAAATTTAGCTCAATTTTTTGTGATAAATTTGTATATGGTAATGAAATGTAAAAATACAGTAAAGGGAAACGTAGATAGATATTTTATCGGAAGATCAGAATTGGAAACACATTTACAAATGGTTGTTTTTGCAGTTAAATTCTGCCATTCTGTGCTTTCCCTAAATAAATAAGTTTAAGATCATAAACTAAGATTTCATTAGTTTCAGAATGAAATTATTGTTTAAAAAGTTAAATTTATTATATCATGTATTTTGATTTAAGATATGAGCATAGAATCATCAAAAATCAAATCGGCTGTAATCTCTTATATTTATGTTTTGATATGCTAACCAGTATCTGGTGTGATGAGTTATGAAAGATTGGTTAATAAATATGTTTTTGTTGGTAGTATTAGTAACTGGTAATAGATAGTTAATGTTTGTTAAAATATTTGGAATCTAATTAATCAAATACATAGAATAAAAAAATATGCTGCTTGATTATAATTTTAAAAAATAGTACATCAAATATGCAGCTTAAGTTTTTAAATACTTTTTTTTTTTTTTTTTTTTTTTTTTTTTTTTTTTTTGCATAAATGTTTTCCAGAGATTAAATTCACAAAGTAGTAGGGTTTTGGTGTCTCGACCAATAACAAAGGGGGGGAAAGGAATTCCGTAGTTTCAGGAGGGAATATAGTCAGTCTTTTATTGAGCTGTTAAGAATTATTTTTAGTTTATGAACATAAAAAACTGCTTTTAAAGTATTTATATATATCAACATTTTGATATTTTTGTTTTTTCATTTATAAAGCCTTTTTAAAAAAGAAGTTAAATTAAAATAACTGTTTATGTATTTTTCAAGTTTCAGAAAGGAGGTAGGGATCTAGCTATGGTGAAAAGGGTGTATGGGGCTAAAGAGGCTGAGAACCACTGTCTTAGTTTGAATTTTTTAGATCATAAATTAACAAATCATGTAAAATTGTAATAGGAATCAGTCAAGTTTTTTAACTGAAAAAGAATTTAAAAAGTCACTGGATGTTTGACTTCGCAAGCTAAGTTCTTTTGCTGTATAAATCTTTTTATATAATGCTTACAAAAAAAATTTTAATGAAAATTACATGTAATGGCTACTATTTGTTGAGATCATAATGTTATCTGTAATAAACTGAATTAATAAAATAAAAGATCTGGGATTTTATCCATATTAAACCACCTGAGATTATCAGCAGACCTATAGAACTGTAGTTTTATTTTAAATTTAATACGGTAAGAAAAAATTTTTATTGTTGAAATTATAATCAGAAGATTGTTTCTTGGGATAATCATAGTTATTCATTTTTTTAATTTGTTTAAAAATATATTTATTAATTACATTCATAAAGATAGATATAATTAATAAATATCTGGTTGTAACAAAAGTTTTCTGCCAAAAAAAGTTCTTAATAAAGTTTAAAAAAAATATGAAAGCTTTACCTTTAATGAGGGTTGTAATCACCACCCAAATCTACAGTTTTCTGCCATTTCAAAGCCTTCGGCCCAGATACTTGGTGGCAGTGAGTCCTGCAGGCGCAGACTAACCCATTTTTTCGGCCTGTGTTATTGAAGTAAATCCACTTTTCATCACAAGTGGCGATATGGTCCAGAATTTGTCCTTGCATTGATTTTCAAACATGCAAGATTAGTGCAGGCCTGAACATGTCTGTTCTTATCTGCTTGAGTCAACTTATGCGGCAGCCAGTGATTGAACTTGTACATCAAGTTTATGTGATGCATAGCACGCTTAATGGACATGGCACTAACATCTAACTCCTTAGCAAGCTCTCGATTGGTTGCATACTGATCTTCCACAAGTTCTCGCAGGCTAGCCTCATCAACATCAGTAGGCTGTCCATAGCACTCTGCTTCTTGAATTTCATAGTCATTGTTTTCGAACTTTTGATACCAAACTTTCACAGTGTCATATCATACAATATTAGTACCTGAAGCTGTACACATGATTTGGTGAGCTGACTTTTTTGCAACAGAACTGGATGTAAATGATGGCATGGAAGTTCCATTTCAGCCACCTTAATGATATTTTTTTACAAATTTCACAGCACAATCTTCTAAAGCAAGTCTCTTTCTTTCAAATTCCAAAATACATTTGACAAAATATGATTAAACATACCAACATGGACTGTTTGTGCAAACAATATTTGCAGTGGCGGGAAACTTTCGTTAAAACTCGGTATTTTTTAAAAACATTTAGAAAGATTTTTTTTTAATTATAAAGTGTACAATATAAAATTTAAGTTAAAAGCTCTGCACAAATCAAAAATTAATTTCCCCCTTTTCTCTTTGTGTAGACATCTGAAAGTGGGATATCAAGATGTACTGTGTATCAAATATTTACAAGCATAGAAATTTAAAGACATGAAAGTTCAATGTCAGTGGATTTCTTTCCATATCTACAACCATACTGTATCTTGCAAGTCTTCTTGGCTGTTTCTTTGACACTAATTTGTAAAATAATTCTAATTATGTACTTGTTTTTTGTCAAGCAAGTTTATCAGGTTTAAGTATCAAAATGTGTTTGTGAAACTTTCATCAAATAAAAATTTTTTGTTGTTGGAATCTTCAGACTTGAAAGTAGCTGCAAGAAGCACATTTTTCACATCAGTGAAGTTTGAAAACACACTTGACTTACATTAAGGCAGAGAAAGATAATTTTCACTTGTTTAGATTGAACACTAAGCATAGAAATCTGTAAAGCATAAGGGATTAAAAATTTAAATTATAAAGTATTATATCAGGATATTTCCATTAGTCCAGAATTGTGGTTTTTTATAAAAGTGAGGAAATTTAAATTTTGCATTGAGAAACTAGTATTTTCCTATCACACTAATGAACAAAATTTATTTTATTTTATAATAACATAAACATAAGGGAAAGTAGGACTATTTTTAGAATCCAGTGCCTTGGCTGCAAAAATTTAATTAATAATCAAATTAATGAAATGTGCAAATTTAGCCGAAAACTAGGAAATTCAAGAAGTCTTAATTCTAATTAACTATGTAATTTAAATACCAGTTCCAAAAAGTACAGAATAAATTAAAATTTTTTAAAAAGGAAAAATAAATAAGTAATATGAACGTGAAGAAGGGAAGTAAATAGGTAAGAAATTGTCTGTCAAGTAATAGCTAGTAGTAGTAAAGCAAATACAATTTAATTGCAAATGAAAATTTTAGAAAAATGAGCAATTGAATAGTCAGTGAGACAATGCCGACTCATCAGGGGGAATTAACTTCTCTCCCCATTTGCTCAGACATTGTGTTTCATCCATGCCATGCAAATGCAATCTTAAAAAAATTATGCATCTTTAATATAACAGTTTACCAAAATAAGCAAACCTATATGTGTGTGTCAAGAGTTTCCCTGAATTTACTAAAATTAGCAAACCCATATGCATGTCAAGAATTCCCCTAATGTACTAAAATTAGCAAACCCATATGCATGGTAGTTTCCCCTGATGAGATGGCATTGTCACTGACTTTTCAATTGTTCATTTTTCTGAAATTGTATTTGCTTTTCTACTGTTACTAGCTATTGCTTGACAGACAATTTTCCTTTACCTATTAACTTCCATTCTTCACTTCTTCATCTTCATGTTCATTTTATTTATTTATTTTTCTTTTTCAAAAATTCTTTTTTTAATTTATTTTTTGCAAAAATGTTATTTCCTTTTAAAGAATTATTTATTAATTTTTCTTTTTCAAAAAGGTTTTAATTTATTTTGAACATTTTAGAATTCGTACTTAAATTGCATAGTTGATTGGAATTAATGTCGACTTCAAATTGAATTTTCTAGTTTTGGACTAAATTTGCAGTATTAACAGGAGTTATTTTCATTTCATTAATTTGATTATTTAATTTTATAGATGTATTTTTAGAAATTGCAAGATTTTGATTAGGCAGAAATGTGAATTAACTTACTTAATTCAGCAGTGAATTAAAATTTAATATTTAGAGAGAAATCTGGGAATTCATTATATTCAAATCTTTTTGCTTGAATTTTTTACATAACAGTAATGAGCTAATTTTTATGTTGATGGCAACATATTACATTCATCAACTTGCTGTTGATAAATGTAATATTTCCATACTGTTCTTTCTAATGGTATTTGGAGTGAGCATTAATAAACGATTGCAACAATTATCTTTTGAATAGGTGAATCATTTTTCTGCTGCATAAAATGAATATTAAAGGAAAAAATTCCTTGATTTAATAATGTAATGAAATTTAAATGATAAAATGATGGTGCAGTGTATAAAATAAAAATATTTGTATTTATTTTTGTCTAATTAAGAAGTATGGAAATTATTTCAAAATCACAATTACTCTCTGTGTAGCCATAGGATCCACAGAAACATAGTTTAGACTATACATGTTGTGGATAGAAATAATGGGAATATAACTGTGTGAACAAAAGTTTATAAATGAAAATAATGGAAATATAAGCTATCAACCTGTATCATGTATTAAAAAATGAACTTCCAGTCTTTGCTTTAAAAGTGCTGTTAACAGTGTCAGTTATGTTATTGTTTTTGATATTGTTTGTGTTGACAAATTATGTGTCAGTGACATTGTAAATTTTCGTAATTTTAATTGAACTGTTACTGAGACAATAGAGAATTATTTTGTGTTTTTGAAGTGTCATAATTGATGTGATTCATCTTTTTATATATAGGTTATATGCCACCAGGTTCTACATTTCCAAATTTTATGCCCATTCCATACCCTGTACCACCTGTGGGGCCTTATTTTCCTTATCCATACTGTTATGTAAACAGGTAATTTAGTTTATTATTATTATAAAGCCCTGTAAAAAATATGTTGATGTAAATTATATTATGTAGTATTTCATACATAAATGTACAGCATAAACATACATAAATGTAAATTATATTATGTAGTATATAAATGTAGTATTTCATCTCGATGTACTCAGTCTTTGATATGATTTAAATCAAGTTCCTCCTCATTATAATTTGCTTCCGATAGTGAAGAAAGTGACTCAGAGGTTATTGAAAACGAAAAAATTTCAATTGACAAATTAGTCGGTATTCTCGACACAGCAATTATAGGACCTGAACAGCGGAACTTTGTAACTGAACAAGAAATTATGTCTGTTTAAAGAATTAAAGAGAATGTATTATCACATAAAAAACGAAGCAACTTAAACAACTTACATTGAAAGAAATGTTTAATAAAGTAAACAAATAAATATTAAGCTTTTTTTTTTGTAAATTTTGATACCCTTTAGATCATAATTGTTCTTTATTTCATAAATTACAGTTTCATATTTTTAATTTTATAATTTCTGCATGCCCATCCTACCAGATTTAAACTGATGATCTATAATCCGGAAAAATCGATAATCCGGAATTGCCGAAGTCCCGACGAGTCCGGATTAACGACTTTTGACTGTAGTTATGATTTTGTTCTTATTTTTTTTTCAGTACCCCTCTCTGTATCTTACACATACAAGCATGCAGCCAGTATGTGTTTTGTAAAAAATGCAAGCTTGCAATCCTTTTATTATTATTTTAAGCTGTCACATTTTCATGATTGATTACTGAGATGACCCAATTTTGTATTTAAAACTACTTTTATGCTTTTAAGGAAATCTTAAATTTGTTACCATTTATCCTCTTTTAACATGATTAAGTCTCTTAGCTTTTATGGGTATTTTTTATTTCATATCAAATGCCATAATATAAGTATTTAATGACAAAGTAATCGTTTATACTATAAGTCTATTTGAACCATTAATTTACCTATTAACCTATTTTAAAATTATTTTATCAATCTGTTTTCATTATTAATTTATTTTGGGGTGGTTTTTTTCAAGTATTTTAGCTTAAGAAAATCAATATTAAAGGAGTTAAATATAATAATAAAGGAATAATATTAATGGTATAAACTGTCCATTTAAAAACTATATCGTAATTGAAATTATAAAATTAAGAAATATAGATAGGAACATTAAATACAAATTATGTTAAGTTGGCTGTCGTGATGTTTCCAACTTTATAACACCTCATTCATATGCAACCTGTGAAAGAATTTTTGGTTCTTTAACCCATTGACTGTGAAACATGAAAGTTGGCACTGATTCTGCCACAGTTATGCCAATTATTCCTTCAGAACTCTGAAGGAACCTACACCTCTTTTATTTAATAAATGATCAGTATTCAACCTACTTTGTTTTTGCACTTTGTAAAAAGGCTTTCAATTCTACTATTTTGTAAGGCTCTGCTTTTTTACCGAGAACTCTGTTTAAAAGATTATGAGTTCAGATTTCCCACAAGTAACTTTTTCAGTCCCTCACTGTCTTGTCAATCGTATTCAACTGACGATAATGTGTTCTTTCATTGCATTAGTTTTTTAAGGAAAGGTTGCTATAACTGAAAACAATTCGCTACTTCTTGTTCTGAAGAAGGCAAGTTTCTTTTAATGAAAGGGGGGGAGATGGAGCAATAGCAGTTAATTTATATTGTTGTTCTTTTGAATAAAAGGTGACTATCAAGAATCAATTGGGATTGTATCACATGAAAATGTCATGAAAATACAGACTATTTGAGGTGTTAAAGCAAAAAGAAACAACATAATATTCGTAAATTTGGAGAAGAGCAAATTTATGACTATCATTTTTTTTTAATGTGTGTGTGGTTTTAACACCTTCAATAATCATTATTCGACATGTTATTTTAACTCGAACAAAGGTGCAGATGTTATGTGTGCATTATGTCCCACTTGTAAATTGGCGCTAAATGGCATTGGTTGGCGATAGTTTCACAGTTGACAGGATAATACAAGCTTACCAAATTATTTATGTTGTCAAAAGGAATCAAACTGCATTTCAATCAAATTTAGCTACAAAACTATTCAAAGCAGTTGTTATTGAAAAAAAGCAGACAAATGAAGATTTCTGTCATAGGAAATAACTGTCGGATTCAGAGTTTAAGCTTTATTAAACATGCTACTTAAAATCAAGTCTTGATATTTGTAATTTGTAAATAAATTATAAATATTTTTATGATTATGTTTCTCAACTTTATCTAGAATTTTAATTTATTTTTATATAGAAATCAAAATCCAAAAGTCTTATAAAGGTGTATGGTTTATGGTCTAATTTCCCCTTCATAGGATCATTTGTGATTTAAAATATTCACTTCAAGAATATATTAGTAGATTGTGATATTTCTTCTTGAGAAATAAAATTAGCATTTGTAATTAAGTATGCATGTAATTTACAAGAAGTATTTTTAATTTTTCAATTTCTTTTATTTATGGGTTTTAAATTACATGTGGACTGGTTGCACCTTTTTATAGTTGTACACCATAAAACTATAAAATATTGTAATACATAACCATACAACTATGAAAAGTTGTATGGTATAGTTGTAATATATAACCATGAAATTATAAAAAGTTGCACATGCACCTTTTTATAGTTGTAAAAATGTCATTCACCAACTGACTACTGACAAGTTTTTCTGTAATTGGAATCTTGTGTCTGTGTGTAATAGATGTGAAAATAAAGACATAAGATTTAGTAGATACGCTGTATGTTATAAGCTTTTTATTCTTACTTATGTATTATAATCTAACTAGTATTAATAATATATTGATTATTTTTATTACATTTAGTATTTTCATATAATAACTATATATGTCAATTACTTTTTAAGTTTCTGAAAACTGAAACTGTTAATAATATTACTGCTTATAAATCACATTTAAATACTGAAAGCTACTTCTTTTTAATAGAATGGAATTCTAGTTATAAAATAGCTACTATTTAAATAAGACATTATTTATAAAAATTAATGAGAATTTTTAAATATAATTAGATTGCTAACAATTTTGCTATCTTTATCTCCATTATCATTATTAAAATATGATTTGTATATTAATTTTAAATATGTTTGTGATAATTAATTTTTATGTGTTTTTAGTAGTACTCCATCTGCTCAAAGTACTGCTTGCACTGCTTCTGTGCCATTTCCACAAGTTAGTGAAAATTCTCATGCATCATCAAATTCTGCAGCATGTTCAGAAGAAACTGCTTCATGTTCAGCACTTCAGGCGCCAAATTATTCAAGTGATTTGCAACAACTTCTTATGACAAGTAATGCTAATGACCAAAATGAAATTACATCAGCTAATGCTAATACAAAAGCTGCTGGGGATGTCAAAGCATCTGAAGAAGTGCTTAAAACTGAACAAATGTAAATAAATATTCTGTCCTTGCAAATAAACAGTTAATTGACAATGAAAATATATTTTTCAGTTTTGTGCTGTGAACTAGTATTTATATTTTATAAGTTTAAATGTAAGTAGTTACCTCTACCTGAATTTATGTCATTCAGTAAAAAGTAAGCAAATTGTAAAAAATGTGAGCTTTTATTAATTTTGCATCATATTTATTAATTTTTATAGGATGAAACAAATATTTTTAATTTCTGTGATGGGTTTATGATTAGTATGTTTTATAAAGCAACATAATTTTACATTTTTGAAAAAACTAATGACATGGGATTGAAGTATTTCCATTATTAATGTCCTAATTTAATATGAAAAAGTTTTGTTTTTCATGTTTGTAATACTTTTTATCTTTATTACAAGTTTTGATTTTTATTGAATGAATCATTTAAAATATATTTAATTAAAAGTTTTCACTTTATTCTGAGTAGTTGTAGTGTTTTAATCTATTTAAAATTATAATCAGGATTATGTTTGCAATTTAATGAAGCAACAAAAAGGAATGCTGTTATTCTGAATAGGTATGCTTAAAAACATTCCACAACATATTTGCTTTATTAAAAAATTTATTTAACATCTACAATAGTCATTTTATCTGCATATAAATATTTGAATAGTAAAAAAAAATTTTATATAAAGGTTTTCATTGTATATATAACATATGCATAAAATTGTACAAAATGTTCTTGTATCTCTTAATTTGAGAATTGTCCTGAACTGTAATTTTAGTTACTTTTTAGTATAATTTGTTATGTGTCAAGTGAAATATTTCTGCTTTTATGCAACCAAAATTCCTTTCAAAAATAGTTTTTTAAAATGTTGAATGTTTGAAATTTTAAATTGTAAATATTGTACATGAGATATGTATTTATTGTGCCTTTTGTCTATTGTAACTAGATTGTGAAGTACTGTTGGTTTTACTATTACTTGTTACTAATTTTTAAAACATATTGCTCAAAAAAGAGAATATATGTGTAGCTTGCCAAAATTTCTTTCATATGTTAAAATTTATTGTATTTTATGTCAATATTATTCTTTTAATGATTTTGAAATGTAACTAATGATGACATTGTGTAGTTTATTAAATTCCTATAATTTTCTGAGAGATAATTTGTATTAATAATAGACAGTATTACTAGACTTTTAAAGTATTTTTAACTGAAAAATATAAAAGTAAAAATTGTTTTATCATTTGAATTTTTTTATCAAAGTTGAAATCTTTGGTAAATATTTTTAAAATTATGTGACATTCATATGGATACTTTTACTACTGCTTTGAAATTATGTTGTCAGAAAATTAACAGCCAAAGGCTAAAGCAGTATTTCTTTGAGGATATTGTATTATGACTGAAATATTTTTAAGAAAGCATAGAATTTCACATACATAGAAACCAAATGTTTAGTTTTTAGTTACATAAATTTTCTAAACTGTGTCATCTATTTTATTATATGTTGTCTAGTACTTTAGTTTTGGTTTATTTGAACATGAAAAAGCACTCAAGGGATGACTTCGCAGAGGACCGAACTACCAATTTTCAGCGACTTTACCGCTCGGCCGCTGGTAGTTCCTAGTACTGTAGAGAAACATCTCTTTATATTGTGGATATCTTGAGGTTTATATGATGTAGCATCTCTGGAAACCTATGTATGCAGCATTTATGTTATGTTGTAAAGAACATCCATACTTCTGTAGACCAATCAGGAATTCATCTGGGTTAGGTATGCTAGGTGAATGTTTGACACAATATTCAGTTACATAGTATTAAAGAAAATACAGCTTTATGTTCCATTGTATTGTCTACAAGCTGAAGCTGTAATTATTGTTGTTATTATACTGTCAGAAGTTTCTATGCTATTATATTGTCACCTGTTATAAAAAGTTTTTGGAAAGGAAAGAAAGAAATTTTAAAAGAATCAAATTCTGTGTGTTAAAAAGTTCAGATTTGACCACTTAATTGTAGTTATCTGTATTTTTTATATGCTGGTTAATTTCAAATTCTCTTTAAAAGCAGAATATGAGTTGGTATTTCTTTTTTTTAACCTGAGAATTCAAGAGAAGAGGAGTTTCATCCTATCCCTTTTACTTAAAATAAGATTTCCAAAATTTAGTGCCATTTCTGGGCAGCCAGACAGTGAAAGGCGAGAAAACTGATTTACAGTTATTTTGAGCATGCGTATCTTATCAGTTCATCTTAAATAGGTTTTATTAATGCAGTCAATGAATATATCTATTCTTTGATTGAGATATGTAGCCTTAAATTTTCTTTCATTAATTGCTCTGTGTTCAGACTTTGTCTTTCTTTCATAGCAAACATTTGCAACTAGGTTTTACATTTATGTGGGTATAGTTAATGGTATTATATTACATATATAAAACGTTACCAGTCATGTTGAAAGCATAGTTCTTGTTGAAAAAAAGAATAGCTGTTGATAGTAGTACTTTACAGCATTACAAAATAGTCCCAGTAATTTATATTCAAATACTCCCAAAGCTGCAGTTAATTTGATTTAGTTGTATTTATTGTTGTACCTGTGCCAGTGGGGGGGGGAATCAGCTGTTTTACTTAGTTGACTATATTCCAAATAAGGAGTAACTAATAAAAAAATTGATAGTCTTTTTCGGTATCTTTTATAGTAATTGATATTTATTGTTATAATTTAATTCCATATTAAAAGTTTTATTCTTATAAATTATTAGCTGTGAATAAAAAGTGTATATTGATATTTAAATTTTATGAAGCAATTAAATAAAATTGTAATATTCTGCTATCATCATATTTAATTAATGATAACTTTATACATTTGTTTCTTAGGAATGTATAGTTAAACCTTCTTAGCATGTCACCCAATCAAGAGTTCACTCCTAGTAAATCTTGGAGAGGATATGTTGAGAAAACTGTGTTTTTTTCCTTAAAATGACAGTAAAAAAATACTCTCGATATCAGATAAAGAGTTAAATTAATTGAAGAATATGAAGGACATAGAATGCCCAAGGTAGCATTTACCAAAATACCAAACAGCCTTAAATAATTTTCTTACATTTGAAAAAAAAAAAAAAAAAAAAAAAAAAAAAAAAAAGCTTTTTTTTGGGGGGGAGGGGGAGGAGGCTTGCTACATTTAAATGCTTACATGCAACACATAGAGAGTAAAGAAAAAAAAATTATTCAAAAACTGAAGCCATGCTTCTTAAGTTCTCAGCAATTCTAGAGTCAAAATATGTGCATACATCAGGAGCTGTCTTAAACGAAAAAAATTTGGAAACTAATATTTGCTTAAACAGTTTAAAGAGAATTGGAATGTCTTAAATGTTTGTAAAGAATTAATATCCATGGTTATTACATAGAAAAATGAGAAAATTATGTTTTGAAAGATGTTTCACATATATATCAACCTTCAAAAATTATAAATTAAATGAAATATAATTAAATTTTCATTTTATACCAGATGGCATTATTTTTACATTTCAAAATGTGCTGCAGGGCCCCAGAACAGAGAGATCCAACAACTATGCTCTTGAAACCAACTCCCTAAGGTTTAAGCAGGACTGAAGCCTCATCATTTATAAATATTTGACACGAAGGTCTGTTACATGTATACTCTAGAACACATTTTCATTTTTGTTCTAGTGGCTTTCAAAGAATTCAACACAAAATTTCAAAATAAGAAGCAAAACATTTTTTAGGCAGCAATCAAACAACTGAAAGCAATTAAATAAAAGTAATTTATTTGTTGTGTCATCTCTGGACCAGTGATTTATCCTCAGTATCAGATGTCATTTTTGAAAGTTTTCTGTCAAGGATTGAATCATCATCATTGATGACAGTTACAATTTCAACTTTTCAGTTCTTGATGTCACCTATTATACTTTCAAAAGTTAGAATGATGTCACTGCAAAATGTGCACAAAATTTCATCAAACATGCTAATGATGAGACACGTAGAAGACAGGGTTTCATTTGCACATCATAGCTTTTGAATGGAAAATGCTATTCAGATTGATAATGACTCTTACTCAGCAGCCATGGTATGATGTTTATGTGAGATGGAGCCAACTTCCAAAATCATGGGGGATATCAAAACTGTGAGTGCTGTCATGGATGATGGAACTTCGAAGGTGTCTTCAAAGAAATTTCTCTAAACAGCATCAACCAAAAACAACATTTGTAGCATTTGGGTGTCATTAAAAAGTATGTGTTTTCTTTTGAGAAAATAATATTAAAGGAAGATCACAAATATTTGTATGTTTGTATCAAATTGAATCTAGGATTATCAATGATTGTTCCATAAAAAAGGAAACATTAATTTTCAGATATTTTTCTTAACTAATATGGTATGGGTTATCTTGTTTTGTTCCAAGAATTATATATATATATTTAATATTTTGTTGACTTATACTGAAAAAAGCATCCTCTTATCAGTTTAAAATAACAATTCACTCTGAATAATATGCTTATTTCTTTGTAGCCCAAGGGTGACTTCTAAATAAGGTTTAACTTAGTTTGTAATAAAATATTCTGCTTTTGTTGGAAGGATAATTTTCTAATTGTTTAGAGGACTTTTTAGTATTTTCCATTTGGTCTCACTTACTCATAAACAAATTATTTTAATCCGAATAGAAGTAAATTGTTTTTGTTTTGTTGTCTTATTATTTAACTGAATATTATGGTAAGAAACTGATAAATATAATAGTTATTGTAATCATTGCAAAGAAGTTTGTCAGCACTTTTGTGTTTATGATATTTGTTATATATGTAATTTTTTTTTTTTTTTTTTTTTTTTTTTTTTTTTTTTTTACTTCTGATAAGTTATGCTCGCCAGGTTATGAACGAGACAGGTTCATGAGAACAAACATATTTGAGATTTATTTGTAACTTGTAGGTTACAAGACTTGATGAATAAGTAAGTATATATTGGCTAAAATAATTATTATTAACACCATAATGACTTATCTAAGGTAATAGCAATAAAGTGTAATACAGTAATGAAATAATATCTCTGTTATGTTAAGTTACAATAAAAGAAGGTGATAGCTCTTTAAATTTGAGAAATAATAACAATCTCGGTTAAGAAAAATTTTTTTAAGAATTATTTGAACTCTTATTTATTATTGCCTGAATGTCGTATTAATTGAAGGGCTACATGTAAAGCAAGAAGGTAGATTAATATTAATTGTGAGGTCATAATGGCAATGATCCTGAAGAGTTAAAAATTGATTTGCTGTAATATCATCACAAGGATAAATGTAGCTTGCAAAGTTGAAGTGAAAGTGATGTATGTCTTTTATAAGCAGTGGGACTTTTGTCAGTAAACTGCTTATGCTATGAGAGTTTCTTTACATGCTGAGAAAACACAAATTTGGGATTTAATGTGAATCTTGTGAACCCATTCCTAAGTACAGAACACCATTTATGTTTATAATCAAGAAATTTCCCATAATAAAATCAAACTGAATTGTAATGCTTTAAAAATGTCTATTTTTTTTAAAGTATTAGATATGTAATTAATAATATATGTCAGAGTTTAAAATAGATAAAACAATGTGAATTGTTTCAAAGTGTAATGATATTTTATTAATTAATTTTAGTGTATGTGAAACTAATTGTTTTTTTTTTTTTTTTTTTTTTTTTTTTTTTTTTTTTGATGTTATAGTTTTTATTTGTTTGTTGTAGATCTGTTTAAAGTTTGTATGATCGAAATAAAATTTATTATATATTGTTTTAAAAATGCTAAGGAAATGTTGCTATAATGTTTTAAATATGTTCTTTGTTTGTCTTTCTAAATGTACTAAATTATATCTTTTCATCATTAGTTTTGCTTCGGTACATTTTAAGTAGGTTGCTTAACATACGTGATCTTCATAAATAATTATTAAATTTATAATTGAATAGATATTTGTTACCAAACTGAATAATTCATGGAGCCAACATTTAATATTTTTATTGTTTTACTAACCAGTAGACTATTCTGAGCTAAATAAGAATTCGAATAATAGAAAAGATTATTACATTTTGGGCTGCAAGCACTAATATTATTTCTTCTTAAAAGCAAACTTTTGAAAAGTAGGCAATATTTATATTGCTGATCAAGATGGGTATGTTTTTTCATTGTTTTCCAAATTAAAAAGGCTTTCATTTTTTAATGTCACTTTGGCTATATTTTCCACCTTGAAGAGTAAAATTTAATGGAATCTTTTTTGGTTTGAAAATTGAACATAGTTCTTGCACGTCAATCCCATAGGCAAGTCTGTTACTGTGTATTTCAAGCTTTTATCTTTAGAAAGGGACAAAAACTTTTGCAGTTTAATTTAGAGTTGCATTCTTTGAGGAAATAAACTCTTAGAGCTAATAAAATAAAGTCTTCAGAATTGTCACATAGATACAGCATGTACAAGAAGACATGCTCAAAATTTAGTGTTCATCGCATAGAAGTACAGGTGCAAGTAAAAAGTGCACGGCACACCAGAAATTCATTTATGGTCGTATAAGTATTGTCTCGCTGCAATAACTGTGCAAATCATCCCAGTTTTTAGGAAAAGCAGTTCGAGAGTCTCCCACCCCTCGAAAAAGACTATCTGCTATTTTGAGAGTCCTCTTGCAACATCCATGCTTTCTGTGAGATTCGAATCCTGGCGGGCCGCATATAAGCAAAATGTACACTGCTAGGACAATGGCTCGAGTTTGGTCAATGTCAATTCAGATGGCCATCCGTATTAACTCTGCCTACAATGATGATGTCACAAAGTTTGCAGTTTGTTTTACCAGCACCTTTTGTAGTGGTTTTCTTCTAGTTTGCAGTAAGACCTCTATTTTGAAAATTACGGCCACTGAACTTCATGACTCATTTGAAAATGAGATAGTGGAATCATTAGATGACGCTGTTACAATAATAAGTAATTTGAAAAATATTGAAAGATATCAACAAATGGATACAAGAATTTGCTTAGTAAATAGATACTCAATGGAATACCAGAATTTCAAATCCAAATTGTGAACATCTGATTTGTTCGTCATGAAACTAAGGAATTGAATAAATAATCGTTATTTATTCAATTCCTTAGTTTCATGAATTTAAGCATGCCTAAATCATTATAGTACTGATAACTGTATTACATTATGGTATTGTAACTTAATTTCTATAATTATGTAAGCATTATGATGAAATATAATTGTAATATATTGGATTAAGATATGATTAAGTAATTTAGCAATAAACATATTATGTTAAGCTTTTTAACTTCCTTAATTTAAGTATAAATATATTACAAATAAGTATTATATACATACGTATATTGTTATACTTAAATACGAGGGCAATCCCAAAAAAAAGGTCTCCTAATTTTTGGGGACGTACAGAAAGTTTTAATACGGTTGTTGGCAACACTGCTGTGAGTGGTGCCTTCTCCGCTACCACATAAGCATGCAGGCACTTCGCTTGGATGCTCAGTCTTGGCTTGGTAGCCATTCGAAATGGAGCTCCCGATAAACGTTGCCACAAAGTGCGCGCAGTTATTCGATTTTTGAACGCAAAAGGCGTTAAACCGGTTGAAATTCACCGCCTATTGACGGAAGCATATAGACAGTCGTGCATGGATGTCAAAAACGTTCGCAAGTGGTGTAGAGAGTTTACAGCCGGTCGTACTGAAATTCATGACGAAGAAAGGAGCGGGAGGCCGTCAATTGCCGACGAGACAAACGCGAAAGTTGAGGAACTCATGCGTAAAGATCGGAGGATCGCTCTGGATGCTCTCTGCATTTTGGTTCCTGAGGTTTCCAGAAGCCCCATCCACAGGATTTTAACGGAAAAGTTGCAATATTGGAAGGTGTGTGCAAGATGGGTGCCGCGTATGCTGAAAGAAGACCACAAACGGCAACGGGTTGATTCTTCCCGCGAATTTCTTCGCCGCTATGGAGATGAAAAGGACAACTTCTTGGACTCGATTGATGCTTCCTGAAGGGCATGGCGGCAAGTCTGGTATGACATGGGCATTGTAAAACTGCCACAGTGTGTACAAAAATGCATCGACCGAAATGGCGATTATGTTGAAAAATAAAGCATTCTTCAATCTTTAAAGTGATGTAGCAATTATAGAAAATAAACAGTTCTTTGTGTATCTAAAAATATAGGAGACCTTTTTGGGGGGATTGCCCTCGTATATATAACAATTTTTATTAATAACTATTATGGTTTATATATATTATAACTACTATGATTTATATATATATATATAATATACAGTTAAAAGTCGTTAATTCGGACACCCATAATCTGGAATGATCTATAATCCGGACCTCAAAGCTTCAAACTTTCTGCATGTGCGTAAGGCCTTTACGGCTAAGAATATGCTTGTGCGCACGTTTACGAGTGCACCTTTAATGTATAACGGATGGTAAAAACTAAGCAAAAATTATTTAATTATCTATTTCTGTTAATGTTGCAGATTGCGTTGTTCCTTAATCTTCGAATTGGATCCGCCTTATTATTTTTTGCAGACTGTTAGAGCAGTTTTATAAAAGTAAGCTTGAACTTTCGATTATGTCAAATAGAGTTTCTGATATCTATTTATTAATATGTAAATGAATACAAAGCGAAAGTATGTTTCGAAGTTCATTAAACAAAAAGTGGAATTGCTACAAAAAATGGATAAAGGCATATCCTTTGTTTATCTTTA